TCTGATTTTGATGGTAAAGAATTATAATTATTATATCTTAATAAAACATGCACACACACACACAAAAGTACGTACTTTATCATAAATACTATCTCACAAAATCTTAACAAAATCATTGGTAAAAAATTTTGAATAGAATTGACGAATCTTTGAAATATTTTCACGATAATTTTTTTTTTGGGGGTAAATGAACTATTGTTTCATTGAAGAAGCAGGTACTAGAAATATCTAAAAATATCTCGATGTCGTAACCATATTCGTATAGATACCAATCGGAAAAAGTATTGTTAGATGTTAGGGTTATTTCGAAAGATAAGTTCTAATACTATTCTTCGAACGAGCTCGATTCGTTGTCAGATAATGCAGATTATTTTCCATATTCCTTTTTCCTTATTGTACTTTTAAGCTTCGCTCGTTTCTCGTTACTACCATTTCCCTGAATAGTCGATGGGTTAAGATAAGAGAAAGAGAAAGAGAGAGAGAGAGAGAGAGAGAGAAAGAAAGAGATAAAAAAAGAAAGAGAAAGGCAAAAAGGAAGGACGATTCGAAGCTGCGTAAAATTGGTAGGGTCGGCAAGAATTTTCACGAGTCATTTAATCGATACCACATTCGACATTCGAATTTCCGACATGTTCAATAACACTCAACGAAAAAGGTAACAGTACCGGAAATGATCTACTGATAATAGTAAAGATATAAATCTATGATTACGATAGTTGCCTAATTTAAAGTAATATAATATTTATTCATTTTGAAGAGGGTATTTTAATATTATTTGAAAAAAAATGATTTTTCATTTAATAAAAGACAAAAAAGTTAATACGATATTACGCGATAAAATCATATTTATTATGTCATATTGTTGAAATTTATTTATTTTAAATTAAAAATAAACGGAAAACTGAAAATTATGGTTGTTCAAATATTGGATCGAGACGAGTGAAGCCGAGAGGAGACCGAAAATTTGTCAAAGATCAAACATATTTGGGTGGCCTATATTTTGAGACTCGATTTGCAACTCCGGTGTCCCGCTTGAATCGATCCAATCAATTGAGTGTCCCCAATTTCGAGTATACACAGATATAGACATATACACACACACACATGCATACATATGCACATACACATACACAGCTCTAATAAACGTGATTAACAAAAAAATGTGTGTCGGATAAGTACCGTATATAAAACATGATTGGCAAGAATCTAAGTAATATCGTATTTATAATAAATATATTTGTTAATTTAAAAATCAATCATTAAAAAAAAGTTGCTCGAAGCAACGAATAAATTAATCCATTAAAAAAGAGTAAAAAAAAAAAAGAAAACAATTAACGAACCAACAACGGCGTTGTTTATACGCACAAAATGATATTGTTACAACGATTTTTCGTGACGTTTTCGTCATGCGTGTAAATTCAATTGACGAAGGAAAGGAGAAGAATGAAAAAAAAAAAAAAAAGGAGAAGAAGAAAAGAAAAAAGAAGAAGGGGTTAGGCGGGCGACGAAGAAAGCGTCCGCGCGTTCGGTAAATTTTTGAACCATCGCAATCGCTTTCCGCTTTCCGCTTTCACGATTCGGACAGCCAGGATAGAGCATTCCTCTTGCTCGTTTTTTCCTCTACTCTTCTTTTTGTCTTTCTTTTTTCGTTTTTTTTTTTCTTTTTTCCTTTTCTTTTTTTCTTTTTTTTTTTTTTTACGTTTTTTACGAATGGTTCCGTTCTTCTTCTGCTCTTCTGCTTTCCCTCCACGAACCAATCTCTCTGCTTTCAGAGTCACTGCATAACACATTCGCTTGGGATTTCCCACAGAGATCAGACACCGTTAAAACGCTGGTATAGACCGTAAATTCGTCTTTCATGATTTTCCCTTTCTCTCTTACTATCCTTCATTCTATTTATTTCTATCCTCTTAACTTCCATCTTCCCTTGCATCGCATTATTTTATTCTAACAAAAAAAACAAAAAAAAAAAAAA